TTGGGTGAAGTATCAGATGTTTAGAACTGTTTAGAATAAGTTGAGAAGGTAGAACAGGAGTAAATTTTACATCTGAAATTTTCATTGCTGCAACAAAACCATTACGTGCTGATAAATTTACTTGTCGTAAAAACCAAAAGAACTGCGGATACTGGAAATTGGAAGCAAAAAATAGAAGTTGCTGGAAAAACTCAGCAGGTCTGGCAGCATCTGTGGACAGAAATCAGAGTTAACGTTTCATGTCTGAAGAAGGGTCACTGGACCCAAAATGTTAACTCTGATTTGTCCTCAGAGATGCTGCCAGACCTGCTGAGCTTTTCCAGCAATTTCTGTTCTTGTTTCTGAATTTAATTGCCATGTTTACTTGAGACTATATCAGGTAGTTAGTAAAGCCTTAATCGTTGCTATTATGATTAATGCTCATAATGGTCTGTAGAGTGAAGCATTTGAATTTTCACGTATAGTCTAGACATCTTATCCAACTAATAAAATCCACTTGAGCATTGAATTCTCACTTTGCTGTTGTTTATGTTAGCTAATTCAAATTATTGAACATTTCACATTCATTAGTACAAAAATTCAACTTTGAATTATCAGGAGAAAACAGTTTCAGTGGGCTAATGTGTTTCCCTTGTGTATTAAACAGTGGAATGTTGTGTGTGATGATGTGATTTAATTAACCAGAAGCAATAGCAATGATTCTTGTGATGTAAAACAGCAGGAAGTGTTACTCAGTGGAGTGATGAAACTTACTGGTATTATTTTCATTAAGACTGCTGCAGTAGAATGTGAAACAAATAGACATTATGTTGCTGAATTTGAAGCATAGAATACTTCAAGACTCTTGATACATGTAATTTTGAGCAGGACCTTCGTAATTTACATTATGTCTTACACATTTTGCTCACTTGTGCAAACTTAATTTAGATCCATGAATACTTTCATTTGAAAATATGAAAAATAGGAGCAGGAATAGAGTGCACTGCTTCTGGAGAATGTGCCACCCTTCAGGCCTGATCTTCTGCCTCAGTTCCACTTCCACCTGGCTTGCGCAGTGTGAACTCATTAAAATGTCATACAGAGGTCGGAGGATCCTTAAATTTGCATTTAAGTATCAAAGGCACAGTGGGCAAAACTTTGTATCCCCATTCTGGTGGGTTTGCGTGTGAGGGAAGATGCGCAGAATTTCCTGTGTGGCCTGCCCACTCTTGACCTCTCCCCAGTTTTTCAGTGGGCCAGGCCTAGGCTGGCCTGTCTGTCTGTCTTTGTCTTTGTCTTTGTCTTTGCCCCACTTGAAAACCTTAAGTGGGCAATTAATGACTGCTTCAGGGCTGTTTACCACCCAACCTCAATTTTTTGGGCGAGTGGGAAGGATTCACAATCATGGGTGATGACCAGAAAGTGGCACTGATCAGGCCTCACGTGGAAAGCGTTAGGGAATTTGTATCTCTTGTCAGCATTTGATGCTGGCAGTGGGCACCACCTGCCCCCTCAAAAATAGAAAAGAACAGGTCTGGCAGTGGGCCCTTTGCATCTGGTCCCTGCACTGAGGAGGAGAAAGTGGTTGACTGGAGACTGACTGGTAGTTGCACTGCAGCTCCTTGGCCCTAGATAGGTGCCAACACTTTTAACTGTTGGAAATGCAAATTCTGCTGTCCCGAAAATCCAGCCTATGTTAGCCACTGCATGAAATGCATTTTTTCAGGAGGCCTGAGAATTGGATGAGAATGCTGCTCATTTTAAGTTGGAGACTAGTGTTTTATCCATGTAAAGGATTTTACGTACAATTAATTTTGGCAGCCTATCTCGAGTAGTGCTGGTTCAGCAAGTGTCAAAAATTCGTTTCAAGATATTGTTTCAATCATTTCTCAAAAATCTGCAATGGCTGCTGCTGTACAGGCATTCACTGTTTTAAAGAATGGTTTGGTGCTTTATTTTGTTTTAGTATGGTTTGTAAATTAGGGAAATTCCCTCAATATCATTACCTCTGTTTTCATTTCACCGCTGTTACTTTGCGTGCTTAACCATTTTGTTAAAAACCAACTGTTGTTGTTTCCCTTTTCTGCTCACTGCCTGGTCTGCTGCCTCTGTTCTGATCCCTTGCTGTGGGTGAAGACTCAGAAGAGGGATCGTAAGAAGAAAGGAGGGGACGAGGGATAGGGAGGAGTGAGCTGGAAGGTCAGCTGTGAGCAGGAAGGCTGAGATGAGAGGGCAGTGAGATATGGGTAGGTCAGGGGAAGGAAGTGACATACAGGAGAATCATAGGAAGTGGGAGGTGGGAAGTAGTGTGTAAGTTAACAAAAGAATTTGAGCTGGTTATGTTTTGACAATCAGTACTTTTTGATGTAAAAAATTAGAGATTTGGAACATAACTCCCCCTTGTTGCATGTTTTCTTGTGGGAAAGTGGTTTTCGTTTAGCACAATTTTTAATTTCGCACCAAATCGTTTTTAGAAACACATTGATTGCTAAACAAGGGACTGCTCTCTTCTAATTTGCTTTATTGATTACATTATGGAGGAATTATAGACAGAACTTTAATCATGTTAATCTGTTCCATAAAGTGGAAACGCGCAGGTTTCCTTTTCCACGTTTAACTTGGTGAGCGAGACTCCATGGAGTTCTGAGTCCATGTTGAAGTCTCCCCTGGCCACAGCCTTCCAGTTTATACCAGTGCTAGGATTGTGTAGTCAGACAGTCAGAACATATCGACAGATGGTGGTGGGGGAGTCTGGGTGATTGGCTGAAAGTTATGGTTCTGAGAATATGACGGTGTCAGACTGTTACTTGACTCGTCTGAGTATTGTCCAAATTTTGCTGCAAGGTTTTGTTCTGAGGGTTGACCTTCTTTGAAGTTCCCTTACTGAAAAGGCAGTGGATGGCAGTGAATCTTTAAATCTGTTTAAGGCAGAGTCAGCTTGTAGTTGACGGGGTCCTCGGCCAGGTCTGACCCATCTCCCACACTTCTTCAGGCTTCACTCCCTCTTTACCCTCCCACAAGAGCAATAGGGTCTCCCTTGACCTCGCCTACAGTCCCACCAGCATCCACTTCCAGAAGATCATTAGCTGCCACTTCTGTTACATCCACTGGAATGCCACCACCAGACACACGTTCCTATCCCCTCCCTTGACAGCATTTGACAAAGGATCATTTCCTCTGGTCCACACATCTTTCACTCCCAACATCCTCCCATGGCCTACAGCACCTTCCCCTGCAACTGCAGAAGGTGTAACGCCTGCCTGTTTACTTCCTCCCTCCTCAGTATCCAACGGCGCAAACATACCTTCCAGGTGAAGCGGTACTTTACCAACACTTCACTCAATCTAGCCTACTGTGTTTGCTGCTCACCAGTGTAGTCTCCTCTACATTGGGGAAATGGAGCGTAGATTGGGTGACCACTTTGCAGAACATACCTCTGTTCTGTCTGCAAAAAAGACCCTGAGCTTCCAGTTGCCTGTCACTTCAATGTGCCACCATGTATCCTGGCCAACACCTCTGTCTCAGGTTTGCTGCAGCGCTCCAGCGAAACTCAGTGCAGGCTGGAAGAACAGCACCTCATTTTCCGTTTGAGAACTCTTACAGCCTTCTGGACTCAATATTGAGTTCAACAATTTCAGGGCTTTCGGGACTTTCTCAAATGTCCCCCCCCCCCCCCCCCCCCCCCCCCCCCCCCCAACAAAACTCCCGCATACCAGGCCTTGTTTTCGCATGGTCTGCTATTACACACAGCCCATTGTTAGCCACTAATAGTCCTCATTAGCAGCCATTCATTCTCCTAGGCACACCATTACCCACTTCATTGTCTGTCCAATTGCCCTTCTCTCTCTTTAGGCTTTATCTCCACCTTTTATTTACTCCTTAACCCCCCTCCTCCCCACCCTATCTACATAAAAAGCAACATTTTCCGAGCTACCGTCAGTTCTGAGGAAGGGTCGCTGAATCCAAAACATTAACTCTGATTTCTCTCCATAGATGCTGCCAGACCTGCTGAGCTTTTTCCAACAATCTTGCTTTTTGTTTCTCGTTTCCAGCGTCTGTAGTTCTTCTGTTTTATCTTGTAGATGGATTCTTGATCACCAATGTGATGAAAGATTATCTGAGGTTTCCAGAATAGAGATTAAAATCAGATCAACCGTGATCTTATTGAATGGTGGAACAGACTTGAATGGGCCACATGGCCGACTCTTGTTCCATGTTTATAGGCTCCCACGTGTTGGTGAGGGAGAATTTGTAGGTTCTAGCCTTTGACTTGAATCTGATACTTTGGCCCCCGCTGAGTGGTTTCTCGGGTTTTATTTTTAAACTTTGTGTTATGGAATTAGGTACAGCTGAGTGTCTTGCCAGTTGTTTGAGGGGAGGTGAGAATCCACCACACTGGTTGATGAATGTGCACTTGTCAACATTTTCCGTTATAATGATGTCTGTTTATTACTATAATGGTGCCTGCCTATGTAACCGTAACGGACTTGAATCACACCTCCCCACACCAGTTGCAGCTCTGTAAAGAATGGTGTCATCACAATGTGACAAGTTTTCATAAGCTGTCAATTAACAATGTGGACATGAATGTTTATAATTGAAATTCAAGAATGGAACAAATTACTTTAAAATGTGAACTGAATTATCTCTCTGGGCCTTGAATTAGAACACAGAACATTACAGCGCAGTACAGGCCCTTCGGCCCTCGATGTTGCGCCGACCTGTGAAACCAATCTGAAGCCCATCTAACCTAAACTATTCCATTATCATCCATATGTTTATCCAATGACCATTTAAATGCCCTTAAAGGCGAGTCTACTACTTTTGCAGACAGGGCATTCCACGCCCTTACTACTCTCTGAGTAAAGAAAAGTAAAGTCTTGATTCTTCTCATCCCATCACGTTGCCTTATGCAACTGAAAGCTTCATTTAATCTTGACTCCTTGTGGGAAATGGATTAACCGGTTATGTATATTACAGCCTGTAGATCATATTCTTATCTCTAATGCTTTCACTCACAGATAACTGCACTACATTGAACCCAGCGTGCCTGAATGAGGATGATCGACACTGTCTTGAAGCTATTCGAATGATACATAAACAGATGGACGATGACAATGATGGTGATGTTGATGTAGAGGAGAGTCACGAGGTAAACCAAAATTTTAAACATGGAATAGTCCAAAACCATCATTGTTGAGTTTCATAACTTATGTTGTAAACTTATAGTCCTGAAAAAGACTTATTCCTTGATGACTTTGAAGATAAACGAAATACTTTGTCTGGTGCTGAGTTATACAATCTTGGGTTCCAGACACAGTGTTGAGATAGTTAATTACAGCCAGGGATATGGTAAAATTTTATAATTGGCCTCGGTGTTCCCAGGCAAAGGAGGAGAAAAATTCCTGATTTGTCCTGTTGGCACTTGTTGGTAGATGAATCCTGGCGCAGGTATTTAATAAATAAATTTGTATGGAGGTTGTCTTAGGAATCAAGTGACTGATTTGTTTCATTGAATTGTTCATAAATCAGGAAGTATCACAAACCGAGCCATACAAATTAATAAGACAATTTTGGTCAAACTTCTTTCAGTGGTTGTGTTGTTTGTGAATAATTCTTCTGTCTATGAATAGAAATTACATTGTAGCATGACAAATACAAAGCAATCAATGAGTTAACCATGAACCTATGAATTTTACCTTTAGAAACCCTTGTACCCTTTCTCTGCAGAGCCTTTCTTGAGCCTGGCGCTAGAATTTTACCAGTATTGTTGCACTGGGCTGTCCTGTTGGTAACTTCTTGAGCTTTGAGTATGCGTCACCTTGTAGTTTGTGACAACCTGGAGACTGCCATTTTTATACCTGATTAAAAGCACAAGCTTCAAAAAACCTAACTCCTGCTGAAATAAATGAATGTATGTATGTCTAATATTCACTCAACTGGTGTGTATTTGTCTTTAATTTTTGGAGTTTTCAGGATTAAGTGTTCAGACCATATTGCAGGAAAATTGTCTAGTGGGCAATATTTAACTTTGTACCATCATCTTTATTTGGGTTTTGGGATATTTTCAATAGTGACTACAGTGGGGATTGTTTTTAACTGAGCTTGTGAATGCATTGACCAAGGTACATTGATGAGCAATCTGCGTATGTTTTTAAATTGCAACTCTTTGAGCGATAATTAGTAAAGACAAGATTCATACTCCCTGTGTGCTAGCAGCAGAATCTAAATTTCCAACATCTTTTAGTTTTTCTATTTAAACCAGCATTGAATTTTATTTTATATTTAGGCTAACATTTTTCCTGTCCCTTACAACCAACAGAATTTCACAGCCTTGGTGAAACAATATTTTGATACAATATATTGCTTTCCAACTTTCCTCCCCTCCTGCTTCTTCTGAAGGCATAGGCCCAGCTAATCCAATCAGGGTACTTTAGATGTGTGCTCCCCAAAGTTTTTCCCACTGTGATCCCATTTTGATGCTTGAGAATTGTTGTCAGCCCCATGTGAGATTTGAGAGGAGGGAAAGTGCCCTGTGTTAATGTGGGATGCTGTTGTACCACTCATTCAGAGCTCCTTGGTGACCATCACCGCTTTAGAGCTCATGATCCAATTTGGTGTCCTCACCCCTACTTCGAGAAGCCCTGCTTTAAATGAATTCTGCACTGGAGACTCCTGAATGGGCACCTCCTCTTATGCATCTGTCCTGTAATCCACTGGTAGTGCAGAAGTACATTTTCGAAACCACACCACCTTTTGTACAGTTGTGTTGTGTTCTGTGATTTTAATGTCTACAGTATAGCCAGCTACCTTGACAACTCCTGTGAAAGGTTATGTATGTAAGGCAAGCGTAGGGTTAGGTGCCAGGTAGGTGGGGGGATTAGGCCACCGGTTGGGTAGGTGGTTTGGGTTTATGGCATTGAGGAGTTGGGTGGGGATTCAGCTTTGTCCCAGCATGAACTCCAGTATGCACTTCTCTCTGGCCATCAGAATGTCTGGGACATGCGCTATTGCTGGATTTGGCACCATAGATACCAACAAATCTCTGATATCCATATTAGCATATAAATTGAACACGTCTTTTTTTTAGCCACAGAGGACTTTGCAAAGTGCTGTTCTTACCTGATTGATTCTCTTCCGGAATGTCTGTGTATTGACAATGAAAAGCAATCAGGATTAGTATCCATTACTTTTCTTCCTTCTCACTTCTGGGGCTGAGGGATCTGAACCCAGTTATAACAATGTGTCCATGCTGTAATATCATGACTCTGTATGAATTGTGAATCAACTCTGAGACCACCACCTTTGTCTGCGTGGACAGCTTCCATTAGTCAGTGCTGTTTGATTGGTAGTTTGGAGGATGTCCAAGAATGATGTAGCACAATATCACTTGTCAAGATCTCTGATCCTACTTTGACACCTCCCTCCAAAACCCCAGAAAGTGCTGGTTACTTAGGTGGACATTAATCCAAAGATCCTGTCCAATCTGTGGTACTAGATTGCTTTGTTACTTAGAGATAGTAAGAACTGCTGATGCTGGAGTCTAAGATGACAAGGTGTGGAGCTGGAGGAACACAGCAGGCCAGGCAGCATCAGCAGTTCTTACTATCTCTAAG